CCTCCTTCTCCTTCTTCTCATCCTCCTTCTCCTTCTCCTCATCCTCCTCATTCTCCTTCTTCTCCTTCTCCTTCTTCTTCTTCTCATCCTCATTCTCCTTCTCCTTCTTCTTTTCTCCTTCTATTATACTCGTCCTCGTCCTACTCTTCCTCATCCTCATCCTAGTCGTCATTCTCCTCGTCCTCATCATCCTCCTTCTTCTTCTTCTTCTTCTTCTCGGCAAAAAAATTCAGTTTAAAGTGTGGTGGGGAAAATAATTGTTTTTTGTGGAAACGTGTATTGTCCCTTGCACCCTAAAATAATGCATAAAGTTAAAGTTCATATGCAAATACATTATAATTCATGATACAAATGTGAAGTATCAGCGATGTTCGTAAAATTTGGAGTCATTCTGCGTGAACATGACAACAACATAACCATATCAGAATACACACGTTAACTCTCAACATCATCAAATGTGTATGGAATGGAATACAATAAAAATCACAGTGAAGACTATACAAAGAGAAGCCAACGGTAGCAAAATATAATTTCGAGAGACAATGTAGTTGAGTGATATGAACCAACATAAACTAAATCCTCGAGAAATCATTATATACATACAATTCAAAATCGGTAGATAAACTTGAGCAGTTGATAAAAAAATAAAAAAATAAAAATCCAAACAAAAAACCGCTGGAAACGTGAAATGAGATATGGACTAAACACTTATTATTAGTTACCAAAGATAAAAGGCTGTAGATATCGAAAAAGAAGTCTTGTTTTGTTTATGAAACGTGGCAAAAAACACGGCACAACCCACGTTTCTTATATTCTGAAAGAAAAATATTAAAAAAACCTCAGACCAATAATCAAATCTGTGAGATCGCAACGGAGTGGATTATGTATCCTGTGTGTAGAAATTAAAGTAAAAGGTCCCGTTTTTGTTTTATTGTTGCAGAGGTTAACGCAAATATAGGTTTGAAGAGAGAAGTTGTTGTGAGATTACAAATCGTGTGTTGCAGTTCACATGCACACATCGTGTATTCAAATTTTTTTTTTCTGTGTGTTATCGAATGTTTAGAGAAAAAAAAAAACTACCACAAAATCCATAAGAAAAAAATATCATTAAAAAATGTTAAATGACTAAAATGCCCCTAGATTTAGGTTTAGGCTTTAGTTCAAAATATCTTTCTTTTATATATAAGATATTAAACCCAAGAGTATATATAGATGATGAGAGCTTTTTCCGCAGCTTATAGAGTTCCTTAAGCTCTTCTTTCTCAAAAGCAACAATTGGGACATTTGCCTAGTTACAAACAGGAGTATCTATTTCCTCCATGATTTGGTCTTCATCAATATGCTCAAACCATGGAAAGTAGATGTTGTTCGATTTCTTCATAAGTAGATGTGCGTTGCACGGGGTCATTAAAAAAAGGAAGATAGTAATTATTTATTCACAATAAAAATTGTAAAGACATCCATTAAACAATATTAAAATATTTAGCTTTGAAATTTAAATTAAAGTGCTATTACCTTATTATACTTGTTTCATAAATTTACTCACATTAAGTACTCCTACTATAGCATATATTATTCCACCCTTTAATAAATGTATAAATTTCGAGTGTTAATAAATTAATTAAAATTATGTTAAAAAATCAACAATTCAAATTTAACAAATGAAACATTACCTGCCAACACTATACGTGTAAAATATAACCAAACATATTATTTTGAAACATTAATTTACATAACGCATAACGGTGTAGGAGTCTTTCTTAGGTTTTTTTTTTTTTTAAATGTTGCTATCAGATTATCAGCGCTATCCGAAACCCAATGATTAATATGATCTACATAAACTATTAAAAATATACCAGAAAATAATAAATAAACAAAAACAGAATATGAAAACAACAATCTGAGATGCAAAAGCAGCAAATAAGCTTTTTCAATAGATACAAAATTTGGACTTTGAAACATTAAAAGAAAATCTAAAAACACGAAAAACTCACATACCACAAAAAAAAAAAGGCTAGGAACACAAAGAATGTGATCATCTCCATTTGATCATGTTTGAGTGACAGTATAACGGTATAACGAAGAAATTCACTGGAGGATCTGAGATGTTCCCAGAAGCCGAATCGAGATACACTCAAAGAAAGCCGACTCTTTAGGGAAAATGGGGTAGAATACTGTATGCGAGGTACTTGATGGTTAGCTGAATAATATATTTCCACAAAGATAATAACATTTGATACGAAAATGAGGGATTTTTTGTTCGCTGTGTTCTTGTGTTGACTTCTTTCTCTCATCATCTTCCTGAAATCCTCCATTGGAATAGACACTTTTTTGAAACCAAACTATTGCCTTCTAATACTTGGTTTCCTTCTAATACAGGGTAATTATCATTAACCATGTGGTCTGCATACCGAACCACGTGAAATTTGACTTACAAAGCGCCGATGATATAAGAACGTAATGCAGAAACAGTCACGAAAAACATCGAGAAATGGGCGACATACCTAAAGCAAATATGCAAGCACAGCAACAGAAAAATTCTTGAGCAGCTATTCGAACCAAGATCGAGATCCACGGAGTTATCTAAAAATTGTGGGTTTACCCAAAAATTCCAAACAAAAAGTAATTTCAGAAGTAGAATTACCAAAACTAAATCATTTTTTGCACAACTACTACAAAACATCAATCATACAAACCAAAAGAAATCAATAAAATTTTTTTTTACCAGGAATGATTGGTCTCAAAATTCTCAATAGAGAGCGTAATTTCTTCTAAATGAAATAAAAAAGAGAAAATATTTCTGATCCGTTTTATGTAAACAAAACTAATAAAATGAACATATATGTTATAATTATTTCGTGCAAATTAATTATATATTTGTGTCCGATGAATTCCAGATTCAGTCTTAAATACCGTTTTACTGTTTTACGAAGAGTTGCAACAGTTAATGAAACAGTAATAAAAAGACACAAATTTTAAAGTGGTTCGGATACAATTGTACCCTACATCCACGGGACCTGCAAATGAAATTTACTAATCTTTAGTTTTACGAATACAATAATAGGACTTAATCGAAATGCAAAGACTCCCTCTTTGTCGACGCCGTTCTTGTATACTACGCTGAATTAACAATCTTCACTTTGCAGCACGTCCCTTGATCCGCACGATTGAAATTCCTTCAACGCTGAGTCCCTCAGTCGGCGGGTCGACCTCCTCCCGAGATCTTCTGAGTTCTCCTCCCGAAGAACCGATCTTCTTTTCGGTGAAAGAAGCAAATCCTTTTTCTGTTTTTCTTCTCGAATTAAGAGCAGGAAATCTGGAGCAGCAACGTAAGAGCAGAAAATATTCTTTTCTCTCAAAATCAAAGGGACAGCCTTCACACACGTTGATGCTCTCCTTCTTATACTTCCTTAGTTGAATTAGTAGAGCCCTACACAAGATTAGAGCCCATTAGGTTAGTTATAATCTCACGTAAGGAAAAAAGAGTTATGTAACAAGGAAAGTCTTAGTCAAAGAAATTCCTTGTTAATAAAACACTTAGGCAATTAAATAAATTCATGACAAAATAAGAGTTTAAAGAACTAAGGAAACTTCCCTAGTTTTTATACACGGTTTTCACACACGTGTTGAAAACCCGAAATTAGAATCCTCTCGGATTCTAACAATCTCCCCCTTTGTCATCTATTTATTATAATCAAGTCCTCCCCCTTGATCAAATACCTGACAAAAACATTAGACTGCATAATAGAGTAACT